ATGAGACAAATATTTATTTGTTTTGAGAAAAGAATTTTGTTACATAAAATAAATATTTTTCAATTCAAATCAATATTATTAGTTTCAAATAAATGATTTATTCGGCAATATCGAAATAAATACTTATTCAAACTCAATAACTTATTTTTTCAGTGCAGCTTTTCGAAAGCCAAAATCTTCATAAAATATTGATAATTCAATGAGATATAAAATTTTTTAATTTAAAACAAAAAGCAACCTTTTTAGCTTTCCATTTGCAAAATTTCGATGAAATAAATTCTGTCTTCTTCCAAGATTCCTAAATTTTTCAATACATTAAATAATGCAGTTAATTAAATAACTAAATAGAATTGAAATGAATTTTACAATCTAAAATAAACGCTAGTTTTACGTGTTAGCTATACAAGAAATTTCATTTGTAATCCTTTTATTGTAATCAGAATGTATTTTGTCATGGAATATTTTTCTATTTTTTATCAATTATGGTTTTTATTCATATATCATAAAAAAATTTATTACAATAGTTTCGCGGTCAGCCAAAAAGAAATTATAGTTTTCCTATTTTAATTAAAATATCGAAAGTTGTTTATTTTGTAACTATGGAGATGATACGTTAATTCCTTCGCAAGAATAGTTGTATAAATAAATATAAAAATATATAAAAAAATACATTTGCATATTATTATTCGCAACGCGCGTCCTGTTTTTTTTACAACTGCAAAGAGGAAGAAGGGAGATGCTTGTAAAAAACATGGGGCCTCTTTAAGATCATATAGCTTAAGGGCCACAAAACTGTAGATCGACCCTGTATATATATGTACCGTATATTGTAAAAAGATTGCAAAAAGAAGAAAGAAACGAATTCGAGAAAAGAATAAATTAGAGAAAAAAAGATCGATTTTAGACAGAAAATACGCACTGTTAACATCTTAAGAAAAAAATATTGAATAGAAAATATTTCTATTTTTATTTTGTTCGACATAATACAATACTGTTTTTTAATCCCTAAAAAGAAAACGAAAAAAGAGGTAAATCAGTGTGGACAAGATGGATCGGTTTTCGCATCTTGTGATCTATCCTTTTCTTAATTAAGTCGTTTTTACAGGACCACGAAGTGTGTCGGCAAACATGCCAAAGAATTCACGCAGAGGGAAACTAATATATATTCAAGCAATTTGCTTCCCTGCCGAGGGAAAAATCATAGATGGGAAAAAAGTTTCACCGTCAAAGATGTGTCTTTATTCTTGTGTGCTTTGAAATCTGATTTTTATATTGCTCTTCTGAATTTGACATAACATGTTTGACATATAAATGTAATTACGAGATTTTCTAACTCTTCAAATATTGTACACTGAAAAAAAAATTATTAAACTAATAAATATTTTTATTTCAATACTGCCTAATAAATTTATTACCAATAAATATTTTTTCGCGTCAAATCAATATTATTAGTTTCAAATAAATGATTTATTTGGCAGTATTGCGAAATAAATACTTATTCGAATTCAATACATTTTTTTCAGAGTAAAATCAAATTACGAGATATAAATTATATATAAAATAATATAAAATAAGAAACTCAAAAAGAGGTATCGGGTGATCGTGCATCCTGCGTCGCCGAAATTCTGCTTACAATATAAAATATTTTTTGTATTACAATTGATGGGACTTCATAGAAAATATAATTAAATTCATATAATAAACGTGAAAAAATTGTTTGAATTTAATTGTCTTTATTGTCACTATTATATTTTAGCATATTACAATATAAGCGCGTTCTTATTTTGCAATTCCCTTCAGTGACCTAATAGAAATTATAATGAATATATTTAAAAACTTGAAAAAATTATTCTAATTTAATTTTCTTATTTGTCGTCTTGTATTAGGTATATGCAACGTAATAAATAAGAGATCGATGACTTAATTTCTAAAAAATATTTATTTATATGTAAAAATTGATACAAAAATATAAAACACTTATAATATATTAAATATATTAATTACATATAATAGTATTATTAATTCTTAATTGTATTAACCCTTAGACTGCTGGGAAAGTCACTTTTGTAACTCGATGCAAATCTTCGAAATTGTGTACAATGTGTATGTTACTTATATAGATAAATTTTGAGGAAAAAAAACCTCAATTTTAATGAAAAAATGCTGACAGTCTAAAAGGGTTAAGAATAATATATAATTTTATTGTTTATATATTTCAAAAGCAATTTTTTTTTTAATTTTTTAACTTGCAAAAATAACATTTTTAGTATGATTATATATGTTTGTGGAATCATTAGCAATGAGTTAAATGCCGCGATCATTAGATAGACCCAAAATGCCCCCCTCTAGTTAAATGGATGAATCTGGTTCGTCAAAATTCTCTGTAAATCAAAAAAAGTGTGGCTATTGTTAAAAACAAATCATACACTTATGGATGCAACTTTCACATCTTTCATGCTGCTGACAAAGTTTACTCTTTGTGTCAGGATCACTTTTGCAGAATTGCCTTTGTCACGGATAAATATAGAGATTATTTTCTTATCTGAGAATTCGATACAAGTTATATCGCAATCGAAAATACCAACAATGTTATTTTTTATACCACAAAAATATTTTTTGTATCACAATTGATGAGACTTCATAGAAAATATAATTAAATTCATATAAAAAACGTGAAAAAATTGTTTGAATTTAATTGTCTTTATTGTCACACTATCTTAGCATATTACAATATAAGCGTGTTCTTATTTTGCAATTCCCCTCATTGACCTAATAGAAATTATAATGAATATATTTAAAAACTTGAAAAAATTAATCTAATTTAATTATCTTATTTGTCGTCTTGTATTAAATATATGCAACGTAATAAATAAGAGATCGATGACTTAATTTCTAAAAAAATATTTATTTATATGTAAAACTTGATACAAAAATATAAAACATTTATAATATATTAAATATATATTAAATAAATAAATTATATTATAATATAAAAATGTATTATGCAAGAATATATTAATTATATTATAATATATTATAAATATATTAAATATATTATTTACATATAGTTCAGGTTTATTCCGGACTCCCCTTAATTAAGGCTTGCCGGGGCGTTTTTAGAGGACCGCCAAACCCCTTACAACCTCCTTCTCTCTTTTCCTATTTACATTATCACATATCATTGATATCAAACATTATCATACATATTGTTACATTGTAATGTACAATATATACAATATGATACAATAACAGAAAATCATAACTCCTCTCCTCCCTTCTCCTCTTCCCCTCTCACATTTCCCTTAAATACAATTCTGCTCCTCTTCTTCCTCACCTGGCCATTTTGCGACCTTACAATATAACTGGGTCCCTTCCCCCCTGTCCCTCTGCCCCTATCCTATCCTTTCCTACTGAATCCTTTTCTCCTCGACCCCCTTTGCCTCTACAATATAAAATATTTTTTGTATCACAATTGATGGGACTTCATAAAAAATATAATTAAATTTATATAATAAACGTGAAAAAATTGTTTGAATTTAATTGTCCCGATTCAGCCGACTTTCGGACCAATATTTTTCTCGCCTATTTCTTTACAGGGGATGTTAAGAGAAGGAACAGGGGGAATTTTTGAGATCCCAACCATAGGATTCAAATTCCTTTCCAAAATGTTCTTTCCTTCATAATTGTCGCAATAACATCGCGTTTGGCTCTATTGGTCGAGAGGAATCAAGTGGAGATTGTGGCTTTAATTGTCTTTATTGTCACTATTATATTTTAGCATATTACAATATAAGCGCGTTCTTATTTTGCAATTCCCTTCAGTGACCTAATAGAAATTATAATGAATATATTTAAAAACTTGAAAAAATTATTTTAATTTAATTTTCTTATTTGTCGTCTTGTATTGTATATATATTGTATTGTATATATATACCTATTGTATATATATATGGATTTTTTACTTTTTACTATATGAATAATATGTAAAATATTACCAATATGTTATATATGAACTAAAAAATCAGCAATGATACAGAAAGATTATTCTTACTTACTTTGCATCTGGCATAATATTATTTCTATAAATAATTAAATATAAATTTTCAATTTAAAAAAATTTATTGTGAATATATATAATGAATAGAAAAACTTGCTAATAATTTGTACTTATTAGATCAAGATACAGAAAATCGCGTATTGTTATTGCAAAGGTATTTTTTGCTACAGAAATATTTTGCAGCATAGCAAACTAGATTATTTAACATTGAAGCCAACAATCTAAATTATTTATTATTGATATATAAGTAGTGATATATTATTATATAATTTCTTACCTTATTATAATACACTCCTGAGATAATTAACAAAATAAATATATTTAGACTAAAAATGAAAAATTCGACATTGTAATGGCTTATGTAAGTTAATATACGTGTCAATAGAAAGAAATAAATCGACCAAATTAACAATATGTACAGTAAAGAAAATCCTGCTTTCCGGCGACTTGTCGGAAATTCGACCACTTTTATTTAGGACACATAAGTATTGTAATTATCAAAAGTGGTTTTAAAATTGTTTGAATATTATTGCTCATTACATGTCCTATTTCGTTTCCGGACTGAACAGTCGTGTCACACTAAATGATAGCACATATTTATAATGTCAGAATACATAAAATAATCGATCGATTGACGTTTACATACCGTAAAACATTTATATAATTCAGAATATAGATTTGATGTTTCTTTTATAATGAAAGTAGAAATGTTTTTTTTAAATATTCTTTATTATTTTTCCCCAAAGGTTTTGTAATACAATAACATATATTTAGTGATTTTATCAATTAATGAATATTAATATTAAATATTATAATATAATATTTTCTGAAGAATATAAAATAAATAAAAATTTCGTACAAATAAAAATTATATCGAGTCAAACGCATAAAACTAAACTATTGAAAAAATAATTTATAATGAATACATAGTGAGAAAATAATTAATTATGTATAATAAAATCATAATAAAGATTCAGAATTTAAAAAATTATTGTCGCCAAAAAGTTCAAGAGAGTGATTTATATATTCTAAAAATGCCCCGGCGGTGGATACACCGGTGCCAGTGCCGCGTACGCTGCTGGTGCCGGGTATGTGGTTGCTGCCGGATATGTTGTTGGTGGCGCGTACCCTGGTGTAGCGTACCCTGGTGTAGCGTACGCTGGTGGAGCGTACCCTGGTGTAGCGTACGCTGGTGGAGCGTACGCTGGTGGGGCGTACGCTGGTGGAGCGTATACTGGTGGAGCGTGTGCTGGTGGAGCATACACCGCGTACGTCGGTGTAGGTAATGCTGTCGGAGGATATGGTGGAGCCATTGCATACATGTATGCTGGTCGCGCGCGCGTGTTACGTTTTCTTCTTTCTCTATTTACTGCCCGCCGAACCGCTTCGTTTACTTTCTGTAAAAATAAAGATTATAAGCATACTGTGTGTGTGTGTGTGTGTGTGTGTGTGTGTACATACACGCACACAAATCAAATTTATTTATGTATGAGTGTGTACATATATGTACATACATATATACAGGTTATTGTAATTGTAACAGAGCAAAATAAAAAATGTGATAAGAAAAAAAAAGATGTGGACAAAAATCAGTAAATTACAATGCAAATTCTACAGATCGAATAAAAACTGTATATGTGCATGTATATATATAAACACACTGAAATGATTTTATTACAGATGTTTTACTTATTATAAATAAAAAAATATCATTTGTAAAAAACATAAAAAAAGTTAAAAAAATTTTAATATTTGCAAAATCATTATTTCTCCAAAAAATGTAGTACACACCATTTTTCTAAAGAACAATGCAATGAATAAAAGAAAATGCAAATGTTTCAGTTTTATATGAAACAATATTTGTTTCATAAAAGCTGAAACATTTGCATTTTCAATTTTTGTTTCATAAAAAACGGAAACATTTGCATTTTTTTTATTCATTGCATTATTCTTTCAAAAAATGTGTACATTTTTTGGAGAAATAATGATTTTGCAAATATAAAATTCTTTTTCAATTTTATTTATGTTTTTTACAAATAATATTTTTTAATTTATAATATTTTTAAAAACTCTGAAATAAAAATTATTTCAGTGTGTTTATATATACATGCACGTATACAGTATTTATTCGATTTGTACAATTTGCATTGTAATTACAATTTACTGATTTTTGTCCATATTTATTTCTTTGCTTATCACATATTTTTTATTGTGCATTGTTACAATAACAATAGCCTGTATATATGTATGTATATATGTGTACACACACATACATAAATAAATTTTATTGTAGACTTGTTATAAAATTAGCCCTTTATACAAAGCGTATATATTCATATATTTATCAACAAAAATTTAATTTAAAATATATATTTTTTAAAAAGAATTAGAAAAAATTATTTCAATAATTTAGTGCAATAAAAATAACTGCGCGGTCAATTTTACTACAAAAATTAATTACCAACCTTTTGCATTAGTCTATTCACCGCGTCGTTCCTCGGTGGGGCTGCGTCAATCCTCGGCGGGGCTGCGTGGGCTGCGTCGTTCCTCGGCGGGGCTGCGTCAATCCTCGGCGGGGCTGCGTTGTTCCTCGGCGGGGCCGCGTCTATTCTTGGCGGGGCCGTGTCTATTCTTGGCGGGGTCGCGTCTATTCTTGGCGGGGCCGCGTCTATTCTTGGCAGGGCCGCGTCGTTTCTCGGCGATGCATTATTAGTCGATCCTCCTGAAAATTTAAAATTATTTTGGTCTAATTTGTTTTCGACAAAATAAATACTAAGACTGCGATCGGGACGAACGATCGGAATATCGTTGTTCTATATTTCACAAGAATAAACATTGAATATTTCGAAGCATTCATAGCGTTTTTTCCGATCATAGCCTAATATATATGTATATATGTATATATGTACATATGTGTGTCTGTGTATGTATTTATATATTTTGTAATATTGTCATGAAAGAGGAATAATGTGTGTGAGAGAAAAAGAGAAAGAAAAAAAATAGAGAGAAAGAGAGAGAAAAAGAAAGGAATAGAGAGAAAGAGGGAGAGAGAGAGAGAAAGAGAGAGTATATGTGTTACAAAACATGGACACATTCTTTACCCGCGCAAAAAGAAGTCCTTATTTTTCTCTCCTTGTCCTTCTATGCTGTTTGAGACATGTATGCTAATTTAAACTATATAGTTCCATGAGTCTAGTTATGTATATATATCTATGATAATACACTTATACATGTCTATATATCGCATACAATTTGTATAAAATATTGCCGTACACACACGCACTCTCTCTCTCTCTCTCTCTCTCTCTCTCTCTCTCTCTCTCTCTCTCTCTCTCTCTCTCTTCTTCTTTCTCTTCTCTCTCACACACATTGCTATTTCGTGACAATATTACAAAATACATAAATATATACAGACACATACAGGCATACATATATATACATATACATATATTAGGCTATGGTCGGACAAGACGCAATAAATGCTTCGAAATATTATGTTTATTCTTGTGAAATAAAGGACAAAGATAAAATAATCCTAAAAAAATCATAAAAATGAAAAAGTCAGGCCATGTTCAAAAGAAGGTACTCAAAAATTTAAACGATCTAATAATAAATTATCACGAAAAGTAACTGATATGTTATTCAAGGTGCCAGTTCAAAGTGAACATACGTAAAGTGTATATTATCTAAATTTAGTAATAATATATTACCATGAAAAGTAACTGTGATATTTTATTCAAGGTGCAAGTTCACATTGAATATACATACATATAAGTAAAACTGATTACAATTTGATTCTAGAAAATAAGTGCGATATGTTATTCTTAGTGCACAAAATATAATAGTCGTTTATAGAGATTTGATTTGAAATTCATACTAGCCCGTACAATGAAAAATAATTGCTCGTAATTCCAGAGTACCAATTTGTTAATGACTCAGAAAAATAACATGGCGGCCTGCTCTCAAAAAACTATGATGTTTCTCGATGTCCATTTAGAAATAATGTCGAAGCTCTTACAGAATAATTACTACAACATTTGAAATACGAAAAGTATTACATTAGAAGAAGATTAGATTAAAATAAGGATTCAACGTATTTTTAAAAGCTCTACACACACAACGAAGTGAATATACAAAACTATATACAAATACCTTTTTCTTCTGTGTTTCTGAAGAAAATTGTAAGTCAAATGAAACCTTGCACTTTGAGAACCATGTCACTTACTTTTCAGAGTCAAATTGATAAATTTTTTTTGTATATTTTAATGATATTTATTTCTCACTTGTATCTTGAATAATTAATATGTAATTTTTTATTGTATATTACGACAAATAATCAGTAAACTTTTTAAGCGTATAGCTTTATTGTAGTTGACCTGAGAACTGTACATTTATAAATTTTACTTAATATACACCCGTTTCGAGCAACAAGGCAAAGTTTTCTGATCAATAACTTACTCCCTGAAAATACGGTATAACACAAATCGGAAGTTGATACAAAAATTCGAAATTTTACTAAAGAAAGATTGGAGGTTTTTAATTTATACAATTTTCACAACTCTTATTTCAATTATTTATTCTACCCATCGAAAGTTTTTTGAGAGCAGGCCGCCATGTTATTTTTCTGAGTCATTAACAAATTGGTACTCTGGAATTACGAGCAATTATTTTTCATTGTACGGGCTAGTATGAATTTCAAATCAAATCTCTATAAACGACTATTATATTTTGTGCACTAAGAATAACATATCGCACTTATTTTCTAGAATCAAATTGTAATCAGTTTTACTTATATGTATGTATATTCAATGTGAACTTGCACCTTGAATAAAATATCACAGTTACTTTTCATGGTAATATATTATTACTAAATTTAGATAATATACACTTTACGTATGTTCACTTTGAACTGGCACCTTGAATAACATATCAGTTACTTTTTGTGATAATTTATTATTAGATCGTTTAAATTTTTAAGTACCTTCTTTTGAACATGGCCTGACTTTTTCATTTTTATGATTTTTTTAGGATATCACTTACTTTTTAAAGTACAGATATATAGAGCAGCTTTCTAGTAATTCAAGTATCACAAATATATGTATTTTCGATTCTTATCACATAACTTTGTATAAGTAACAATTTATGCAATACAGTCCAAAATAATTGAAATATATGGTATATATGTACATATATAAAATATATAATTATATTATAGTATACATATATATTTTATTTAATCATATATGTAAATGTTTGTATAATTGTAATAACTTTTAACGATACATTGCACATTTATTTCAATTGCAACAGAATGAATTTATATTCTTGTATGAATATTGAAAATAAAGAATGGGCCCCTCCATCGCCCAGTCTCGTGAGAACGCAACCATATATTTTTCTTCGTCTCTCCGATTTTAACACGACATACATATTTCTGTCTGATAATTTTTTTCTTGATGATACTTTTTGAAATGTCATGAAGCCTAGGTCAAATTAGAAACTTATTGCACTCGTTTTAATGCAGCGCTTACAGCAGCTTTTATAAAGCGCCAGAGCAGCCGATATTTTATTTTGGCGCTTACGGCAACTTTTATACAGCGCTAGAACAGTTGATGTTTTAATGTAGCGTTTACGGCAGCCTTTATACAGCGCCATTATTTAATCTGTTCTAAGAACAATATGTATGCCCCTTGTGCTCCTTTGGGCCATTTTTTCTTGAACACTTCCATATCATTAGAATAATACCATTCCGATTTTGTGTCAGCTCTCAACATACACGTGTAGTGACCACGATTCATTTCTTCACCTTCGTGAAATATAGCGCTTATTAGCTTGTACTTTTTTTTATTAATCGTGATATTACTCGTCGGCACGGCGGTCATTCGATTGTTGATAATTTTTTTAGAAGCACCGTTTATAAAAGTATATAAATTGAGCTGTATTACTACGACGGATAAAGTTGATTCGATTACGGTTTTCTTTTTCAACACGGTGCCCTTACATTCGTTACAATTGCCGTTTATCGTTTCCCATTTAAAAAATTCTACATTAATCAAACTTTGTAGAGTGACACCTTTTTTCCTTTTTAATGTCGAATGTATAGGTAATATTAACAAACTACTGCTTTCCAGCTTAGTTACATTGTAATTACATTTGACATTCGAGCAACATGTTACGTGCTTTAATTCGAGTTTTAATACATCATTGATGTCGGAATACGTCGACATTAGAGCCGTAAAAAATTCCGAAACATCTTGTTGTGTTCGTTCTTCGAAGCGTTTTCCGACAGATCTTCTAACCGCTTGAATGTTGCAATATTTACGTTCACCATACGCGCAGATAGCATCAATCAATGCATTCGATGCTTTATTTTTCAGTATTTGTTGCCTAATACGTACGCAATGAAACGCACATTGTAATATTACATTAGCGTAACACGAAACAGCATCGTTATTGCAAAGGCCATATATTTTCCACGTAACTATACTTTCTGGTTCCTCACAATCATAATTCTGCATATCATTAATGATATTAGGGATATCCCATCGACGATCGTACATTTTCACAACCTTTTTCTCGGACGGATTGATTTGTGGCAGTTCAGATTTGAATATAGATCTCAGTCGATTCTACAATGGCTCTCGAGTTTGCTTTAACTGATGCTGGATTGAAATTTATCAAATGTAGGCCTTCCAATTTACTTACTCGTGACAAACCTACATAGGCTTGACCATCACTGAATACAGTCGTTCCTAAATCCATCATTGCATTGTTACATGTAATTCCTTCGATTATAAATAATTCGACATTCTTTAATTTGTCTCTCAAAATTTTCAAGACCATGTCTGACAATTGCGTATATTTTGGTGTAGATTCATGACTAACCGGTAGTTGAAACATTCTATGGATTGTCAAGCCATCGATATTGAATGCTGCGATACCCGTGGGAGCAGATATGGCAGTCGTTTTTTCCAAATTTATTCTGATCCAATGTTTAATCGTTTCAATTAGAAAACTTTTCCCTGTACCACCCTCGCCACTTACGTACAGTCGCAGAATCTGATTCTTATCTTGTAAAACTTGGCATACTCCATCAAAGACTCTTTTCTGGTCTTTGTTCAATTGCGACATCATTTGCGATAAATCAATCGGGTCGTCAATCTTACCAAAATCTTCCAGATCTTTCATCGCGTCGTCAGCTTCTATCGGATTACAATCCAGTTCATCGTCATCGGATTTGTCTCTGTCTGCTGTTTTCAGATCATTTTCGCGCTTCTCGATTAATTCAGCAACGTTCTCAAAAGCTTTCTGTATTTCTTCGAGCCTTTCGTGATATTTCATTGCCTTCGTTAAAACAGACTCTGAATTCTTAAAGGCATCCGTGTAAGTCTCGAATGTACCTTTGAGTTCACTCAAATCTCTCCATGGTTTGAACAGAAGCAGCGAGTAAAAGTATTTTTCGGGCTCAGTTTTTATATTAAATCGATAATGGTTAATTAAATAACCCTTTTTTCGTTTTTTTAAAAATAAACCCGATGCCAGTTTGTAACACTTGACTTCGTCATTATTTGACATCTGTTTCGTAATTTCCCAGAATCTGGCAAAATCGTACAAATTCAATGATTCTAATTCCTGAGGTCTATTTGGATAGTAATCATTGATGAGTGACGAACAGTAAATATTCGTAGAATTTTCATCGAGAGCTTAAATTTCATTAAATGTTTTAACTTTTCTATTTCTCACCTCATTAACATCGATCCATTTGACCATGGTATCATTATCCGTACCGTACAAGGGATTCCCTAATAGTGTATCCGCAGCTTCTAAAGCACCGCATTCTCTGTTATTTAATGAACGCATTGCAAAATTCCACAGTTTCGATGCCAAGGACTTATTCGAATCTATCACTTCAAAGTCTGTATTGCATTTTTCCGACTTTGTCGTGTATTTTGTTAAATATGAGTTTAAAAACTCTGATTTTTCTCTAATAAATTGTATGTCCATATTTCCCTCCCAGGCTAATTTGATAGACGGATTATAATCATTTATAAACCTTTCCGACTCCTTGCGAGGAAGATCGTACAATCTGCTCTTACTGCGTAAATTTTTTCTACCGACTATCGAAGTGATAACGTCTCTTAAAACGAAATTCTCAGTAACTGGCCGAGGAAAATCGAACCGACACTTTCTGTATATATTAGTTTCCGTTTTTTTCGTACGCATGCAATACGAGTTATGTTTATGATTCTGATCACTTATTACCATATCGTACAACGTTGGCGAAACATTTTCATCTGGAATTTCACACGTTACGTATTTTTGAATAAACGTAGCAACTTCTTCATCCGGCGATTTTCCTAATACTGGAGCATCTTTTATCCAAATCATACAATGCATGTGCTGGATACTTCTACGTTGATATTCCAGTCGCCAGAAGTAATGAATAACCTTTCCTATTGGATTATCGGACGAACAAATAAAATCAATCATGGCTTTGAATTTTATGCACATAAATCTAGAAGTACTTACAGGATCGTATGCGATTAGTTCGCTGATGCCTAACTTCTCTTTATCGGGATTCATATCTCGTAAATATTTACCCAAATCGGACCATTTCCATTCACTAGGACTCAAAGTCAAAAACCACGTCGCTGGACCGTAATGCAAAGTCATGCATTTTACATTATTGGACGGTTGTCGCCAAAATTGATCCGTATTTCTCAATTTTGCGAAAATACTCATTAAATTCGATTCTAATTGGTAACCTTTCAATTCGTTCAAGTATCTACCAGCAGTGTATCTCTCTCGTGGGTTAGTAACCATCATCGTATAATAGATACCACTTTTCAACTGTCGGTAGTTAGCATCATTGAGAAGGAAGAACAGATACTGCAGATTCAACCTGAATCTACTATGTTTCATCAATCGTGTTCTAATAAATAAATATTCCGGCAATGCAAAGTTTCTATCTTCTCGTTGTCCATTGACACCATCAGGATATAAATCAGGGAAACACATGACATCCAGATATTTATAACGATTATCCATTGGAAAATCTTCAATTTTCACCATTTGATAAAGCTTCAATGCAGATTCGTTATCGATTCTTTTCGCGTGTATTGGGTATATTGTATACTGATCGTTAATATCCGAATGTTCAGTGATTTGTGTGAGAAAAGCCGTACGTTTTAAAACGGTTTGATTATTATTGTTTTTGTTTTGCTGTACATTGTACAAATTCAATGCTGGTAATTCCTCAACCACCTCATTTATTTCGTCATTGTCGCTTTCCTCATCGACAATCCTATATTCTGTTTCCTGCAACTTATCCTTTAATAGATCATCAGATGACGCTGGAAGACGAATTTTTGAGTAATGAGGATTATTTTCTTTCAACCATTGTAAAGCCTTATACATTTTATTAATATCTACCAAATTTTCCCAAACCACTTTAGATTTCTTGGGTATACCTCGAACGAGAATGTGCAACTCGTGATTCAAATTTATAGGATCTTCCGGAGGACATACCTTATCCAATGTTTCTTGTAAAGGCAGAGGCAAATGAAATGTTCTACGTTTCCTAAACAGAGTTCGATTATATAAGTTTCTTGATTTAAAATGTGCTATATTTAAATCATTTAATTATTTTTTTCGTTCAAGTACAATTAACAGCAAAAACTGCATATACGTAGGTATGTATTTGACTCTACTGCCATTACTTGAAACAAATACATTATTCGATATTAACAAATTGGAACTCTGGAATTACGAGTAATTATTTTTCATTGTACAGACTAGGTTTAAATTTTTGAGGACCTTCTTTTGAACATGGCTTGACCTTTTCATTTTTATGATTTTTTGGAGATAGGGTGAGAGAGGACGAATGAGGGTAAGAGAAGACGAGATAGGCGAAAGAGGGTGAAAGAGAACGAAAAAGGGTGAGAAAGGACGTACGAGGGTGAAAGAGGTGAGAGAGGGTGAGAGAGGACGAAAGAGGGTGAAAGAGGACGAAAGAGGGTGAGAGAGAACGAAAGAGGGTGAAAGAGGACGAAAGAGGGTGAGAGAGGACGAAAGAGTGTGAAAGAGGTCGAAAGAGGATGAGAGAGGGCGAAAGAGGGTGAGAAAGAATGAAAGAGGGTGAGAGAGGACGAAAGAGAGTGAAAGAAGGTGAAAGAGGACGAAAGAGGGTGAAAGAGGGTGAGAAAGAATGAAAGAGGGTGAGAGAGGACGAAAGAGAGTGAAAGAGGACGAAAGAGGGTGAAAGAGGACGAAAGAGGGTGAGAGGGAATGAAAGAGGGTGAAAGAAGACGAAACAGGGTGAAAGAAGGTGAGAGAGAATGAAAAAGGGTGAGGAGAGGACGAAAGAGGGTGAGAAAGAATGAAAGAGGGTGAAAGAGACGAAAGAGGGTAAAAGAGGACGAAAGAGAGTGAAAGAGGACAAAAGAGGGTGAGAGGGAATGAAAGAGGGTGAAAGAGGACGAAAGAGGAAAGAGGGTGAGAAAGACGAAAGAGGGTGAGGTAGGACGAAAGAGGGTGAAAGAGGACAAAAGAGGGTGAGAGGACGAAAGAAGGTGAAAGAGGACGAAAAGAGGGAATGAAAGAGGGTGAAAGAGGGAGAGAGAAAGAGGGTGAGAGAGGACGAAAGAGAAAAGAGGGTGAAGATTGAAGAGGGTGAAAGAGGGAAAGATGAAGAGAGGGAAAGAGGACGAAAGAGGGTGAAAGAAAGGGTGAAAGAGGACGAAAGAGGGTGAAAGAGAGGAAAGAGGGTGGGAGAAAGGGGGTGAGGGTGGGGTGGGGGAGGCGGGATGTGGGCGGGAGGCGGTGGGTGGGAAAGGGGTGGGTGGTGAGGGAGGTGTGAGTGAAAGGTGAGAAGAGATTTATATATATATATAATCCTGATGACGTCAGCGGACAGAGAAGAAGACGACGTTACTTCATTTTTCATGAAAAACGTCACTTTTTGACCACTTGTATCTCCAGAACGGCTTGACCGATTTTATTTTTTCTTGGCTCAAATTACTCGTGGCGATGCCGCCTTTCAGGTTATATTACGTGCAATTCAAAATTTTTTATATTTTAGTAGTTCTACACCCCCAAAAAATGGACTTTGATGGTGCAGGATAAGGAGACTTGTAGTGTCTTTTAAGGTCTTTTAGGGTTTGAACATGGCCGGAGACACTACCGCGTCTCCTAATATTCCGATCGTTCGAAAATTCGAAACATTATTCTATATGCCTGATACGTAATAAAAAAATATATTTCTACTTACTACTTCTTCTTGTAGCGTGCGATGATCTCTGCATCTTTGCTGCACATCTGATCCGACTGATCGACACGAGACACGAGCACGACTCAACACGATTCGCACAAGACAACGACGCGACGCAACTGGACGACCAGGACGACTGCTACGAAAACGAAACTGGACGAAACGACGAAACAAATGAGCGGCGTAAACAGCACACAAGTGCGACTATGTATGTGTACATACGTATATACGTGTGTAGGTTTGCAAGCAGCGACACGAAAACAACAGCGTGCGCGCACGTGCTTCTGGCGTTCGACTTCGAGTAGTAGAAGAGGACAGATATATCATCTACTGTCTCTTTCTTTCTCGAGTCATGTTAGCGCTGGCGCCTGTTTTATCTCTCACGTAAAAATGAAATTATAAGTAGAGTACATCTTGTTATTATACAGGGTGTCCGGTAACTAACGGACCAATGATTAAGGGCGGATTCTCTGGCCAATTTGGAGACGATTTTTCCTTAGCAAAAATGTTGAGAAGTCAATAATTTTAGAGTTATAAGCGATTGAAAAAAATGGGTTTTTTGAAAACTAAACGTTTTGGAGTTAAAAGTCTAACATAATTACATTCTTCAGTTAATTTTAGATAGAATTTACTATAATAAAATTTTAATTTGAGGCTTAGTTATAAAGATACATAATGACAAATATTGGAAAGTTGTAAAAAATGATGACCTTTTTCGACATTTTCGCTGAGGAAAAATCGTTCCCAAATTGACCAAAGAATCCATTTGTAATCGTTGGTCCGTTAGTTACCGGACATCCTGTATATATGTATAATGTTATAACAATTTATCCATTTATTTATCCTATATATACGTACATTGCACCAAACATTTTTATGAATATATATATATATATATATATATTTTTACGAATGATTTTCAAGAATATTTTGTTTTGGGGATATATATATATATATATATATATATCCCCAAAACAAAATATTCTTGAAAATCATTCGTAAAAAATATATATATATATATATATATATCATAAAAATGTTTGGTACAATGTACGTATATATAGGACAAATAATGTAAAAATTATAAGTAGATATCAATGTAATTACATATGTCTAATGTTATATCATGAATATGATAATTTTATCCTTTATATTGAAAGTTCTTATTTCTCCTGTATTTCATCGGTTGCATAAAACATTTTCTTCAAGATCATTTTGCTTCAAAAATATTTTTTAAAAATAGAAGATACTTAAAAAATTATATGTATAATATTATACACACACACACATACATATATATATATATATATATGTGTGTGTGTGTGTGTGTGTGTGTGTATAATATTATACATATGATTTTTAAGTATGTTCTATTTTTAAAAAATATTTTCGAAGCAAAATGATCTTGAAGAAAATGTTTCATGCAACCGATGAAATACAGGAGAAATAAGAACTTTCAATATAAAGGATAAAATTATCATATTCATGATATAACATTAGACATATGTAATTACATTGATATCTACTTATAATTTTTACATTGTTACGTGAGAGCTAAAAGACAGGTGCCGGCGCTTACATGATTCTTGAGACGTTAGGTATATGTCTCGAGAAAGAAAGAGATAGCAGATTCTTGTCTGCGCTCTTCTACCTGAACGTCGAGCCGCCGAGCAGTATATGTATGTACACATGGTTTCTTCGTCATGTGGGCAGCGGACGAATGTGACATTTCTTCGACGAGCGTAGTTGGCTTTTCCCTAATCAAGATTTTTATGTTGCTACGCTCTCTTTCTTTCTTTCTCTCTCTGTCTCTCTCTCAAATTTCTCGAGCTACTGTACACACATATACATGTGTAAAGTATATAAATATATGTATGAAAGTTTGCTTTGATTTTATTTTTATACAAATATGTGTAAACGTGAAACAATAATCTGACTTAAAAAAAATTCGATTTATAAAGTTCCTAAAAATAATTTTACTCCATTATTGTTATAAACAAATTATGTCGAGACAATAATAATTTGGTTTATTACATATCGAGGCATAATAATAATTCCAAATTTTTTAGTGTGACGACATAGTTTTAATTCACTAATTTCAACAAATTAGTAATATTCCTGAAAAGAATTCATCAAATTTTTCATTATGTCCCGACGTGTAATTCAACAAATCATTATTATGCTACAACATAGTTACAATTGAGTGAAATTATATCCCAATAAAAATGTCGTAATAAAAATTCTCAATTATTCTTAAATAAATACCGCACTGTGTGTGTTATTATGTTCTGGCAATTTTAATTACTCAATAACAATTGAATACAATTATTCTTTGAAACTTAGCGACGTGCTACAGATTTGTTTCACGTTTACTCATATATTCGTATAAAAAAATTAAAATAAATTTTTTTTACATATATTTATATATTTTAAACGTGTATATGTGTGTATAATTGCTCGATAAATTAGGAGAGAGAAAGAGAGGGAGAGAGAGAGAGAGAGAGAGAGAAAGAGAGAGAGCGTAACCATTTTTTTCTATCTTCTTTCAATGGTTGGAAAACCCGATTTGATTGGCGAGATATCATATTCGCCCCTCTCACGCGTATATTTTTTTTAAATGATAAAAATAAATAAATCCATCAATATTTATGAAAAATAGGTTTTCTTTTAAATAATGTATACACGTAAACTTGATATGATACACAACGATTAATAGAAATAATTACTATATATATTTTAATTTGAAACATCTTTATTGAAAGATTTTAATTTTTTTTAAACGTTTATATCTCTATTATAAAATAATATTTGTGTGTACTTTATTACATAAATATTTATCATATATATATATATATATATATATATATGTATATCAGTGCTCGGAATTATCTCAGCATTTCAGCCGATTTTCGTATGTCGACGCCTCCTTTTCTCCCTTTGCCGCGCGCGCTGCAGCCGCTAGGACGAGCGCGGCCGAGCCTCAGGAACGGTACTATCCAATTATGATACGATCTTTCTCCCTTGATTTTTAAAATTTCAAAAAATGTATTAAACATAATTTTTTTTATATAATATTATTATTATGATTATATACCGTTTGATGAAGCATGGCAAAAGTATTTTTTAATCATAAATTTATGTTTATATTTTTATATTTTTATTGTTTAATCATAAATTCTCCTCTCTATTTTTTTCTCTACAGTGGAATAGGCCTACTAGGGGATACCACTCTAAAAAAACACGTCAGCAATAATACCTCACATGAAAATATATTGAAATATTTCTACGTATAATGTAAAAATAAAAAAAATTATGTTTAATACATTTTTTGAAATTTTAAAAATCAAGGGAGAAAGATCGTATCATAATTGGATAGTACCGCTCCTGAGGCTCGGCCGCGCTCGTCCTAGCGGCTGCAGCGCGCGCGGCAAAGGGAGAAAAGGAGGCGTTGACATACGAGAATCGGCTGAAATGCTGAGATAATTCCGAGCACTGATGTATATATATAAATATGTTCTTGTCGAAGATGTGAACTATATTTTAGAAAACGTTTATAAAATAAATAAACGTCTTTTTAATAATATAAAGAAATAAAAATAGTAGGCAGAGTAAAAAATCATTCAATATAAAAGTTTCTGATTGATTCTGTAGAAATTATAATTATGTCAAACATAATAATAATTTGATGAATAATGTTGGGACAAAAATTTTTATTATGTCACGATATAATTTGCATCAATTTTGTTTTATGTCTCGAAGTCATTTTTCAAATGTTTTAGAAAATTATTTTTTCATATTTTTTTATATTGCATGAAATTTTTTTACTCGGCATGCAATTTTTATTCCTTTATATTCATCATAAAAAAGATGTTTACTTATAGACAAATATACATGTACATACAGTTTGCAGTTTTTTAGGTATAAATGTGTTGTAATTCAAAACGTTCTTCTAAATATTTAGTTCACCTTTGACAATATTATTATATCTATGTGATAAGTATTTAGCTAAAATTAAATACCACTAATCACTTTATGTATATACAAACGGTTTAAAAAAAACGTGAATCAAATAAAAATACATATGATAATTATATGTATAAATAATTATGTCTAATAGCGAGTTTACGTATAAACATTTCTTACAAATCAATGTCTTTTTCGTCGTGAATATATAAACAGATCTACATATATACGAAAAATAAAATAAGTTATTTTGCTTACGCGCCAAAAACGTCTATTGCGCGTATGACCGGGCTGGTACATACCTACACTTGCGCGCATTGTGTACTGCTATCTGTACGCGGCTTGCAGTAATAGCGCGAGATAACAGCTGACTTACACACGTTGAGTCTAGACAGACTGTGTATATACGTGTAGTGAAAGCTGTATAGTGTTTATAGTAGTAAGTGTATAGAAGTGTTTAGAAGAGTGTATACAAGTAAAAGAAGAATATATTATAAAAGTGATGGGAAGAAAATACGACAAAACACATTTGCCTCTCACTCGCCGCAGGATGTCGCGAAAGAAAGGATGGATGAAAAGGTTAGTAACACCATTTTAAATTTAGGTGTCCGAAAATTCGCAGAACACCCTGGGAAGGTAGAGAGTGTTATCTGAACAGAAAAGTTCTGTATCATTCTCTACCTTCTCGAGTGTTCCGCGAATTTTCAGACATCCTGTATAGAACTTGGGTTCGGCGAAGCAATCTGAAACGTCTGGATGCTCTTTTGACTCATTCTGTTATTTATTATATATAAATTTATTAGTGATGTAAAAAATACTTTGAAAAAAAAAATATTTTTAATAATTTTTTTCTTACATTAGATTTATACAGAGTGACCAGAAGTCCAAAAAAGGTGGAATATTTCATGAATAATGCGATTTTGAAAAAAATATTTTAAACTAAATTCGTAAAACAAGGCGTATCATAATTTTATAACCCAATTATATTGTACCTTACAGTTTTTTAAATTTTAATGAAAATAAATTAAACTTACAATATAATTATATATAATTATAGATAAATAGACTAAAAGTAGAATTACACTTAAAAATACTGTGGCCTGAAATTTTCCAATCAGTGTATTGTAATAGAACAAAAATAGAGTAAAGAAAGAGACGTCTGCAACGTCTTAGATTTACTTTGCCGAACCCAAACAGAGTATCCCAACGTATTCCAAGCTTTGAGTGCATAAAGAATAAAAAAAAATTTTATAATTGTTGCAAAAGATATAGCCGGGCAAGCATAGTGCCCCCAACTAGTTTATAAATGACATTTGGCCTGTCATTTTCTAACTATAAAAAACAATTTTTCCTAGTTTTGCTCCCTAACTCTATAATGTCCAGAGAAAAGGTTATTTTTATTTCTTTTCTCTATCGCAAATATTTTACATTATCACACATCAATTTTTTGCTAAATTCTAATAAACCAAAGACACCAAAAAAATTTTTTTTATTCTCGAATAAGAACTCAATTAAAAATTTTAAATAAAATAAAGAAATGGCCTTTTCAGTACGTTCCTTTCGAGGTTCAATCACAAAACTTTTACAGAATATTTTGTCTTTGTCTCAATACTCTCAAATTGTTTCAAATTTTTCGAGTTGGTGCATCATTTAAAAAAAAATAAAAATTACTTTTTTTGCATTATTTCCAAACATTATTTATTTTTCTTATAACAATTATAGTTTTGATCATACATAAAAAATATAAAATTATGTTTATACAAAAATTACAGCAACTTTTACAAAGATGTAATCGAAAAGTAAATTTCTATATGAGAAGAAATTAGCTCTTTTAAATTTTTGAATATAATGCTAAAAAATAGTTTTTATTTTTTTTAAGATATTCCAACAACTTGAAAAAAATTGAAAACTTTGAAAGTATTCAGACATAAAAAAAAGAATATTCTGTAAAAGTTTGGTTATTGAACCTCGAAAGAAACATTCTGAAAAGGCCATTTCTTTATTTTATTTAAATTTATCGAGTTTTTATTCGAGAAACCAAAAAAAATTTTTTTTAGTGTCTTTGGTTGATTCTGCAAAAAATTTATGTGATGATGTAAAATATTTGCGATAGAAAAAAGAATTAAAATAAAAATAACCTTCTCTCAGGAAATTATAGAGTTAGGGAGCAAAACTTTTGGAAAAATTGTGTTTTTTACAGTTAGAAAAAGACAGGCCAAATGTCATTACGAAACTCGTTGGGGACACTTTTATAATAGCATGCTTACCCAGCTATGAACTTTGCTCATTTTTGCTTTATTTTAAAGAAAATAAAGCCATGTTGGTAAATTCATTCAAATATGTACATATTGTTACATGTATTATTAATTTACTTGTACACTTCTAATGAGTAACAGACTAATTTTAAATAAAAAGAGAATAAAATAAACGCAAACAAAAAAAACCATACAATAATTTTGTTATCACGGCTCTATCTTATTTTACTTCAAAGATTTTTAATTTGCTCTAATTTTATATTTTGCAATGTTTATTTTATGATATTTTTTGATATATTTTATTACTGCTTTAAATTTCTGTACCATATTTTTTGTTTGCATTATTATTAAATAAAATACGTTATAGAAAAAAAGAAAGTTTCCTAAAATAAAATTATAAAATTATAAATAAATGCAAGATAGTAACCTGCTTACTTTTATTTGTTTATATTTACATCTCTGTTGTTTTCTTACAAATTATATTACAGTTATTACTCTTCAAAAATGTACATGTGAATTCATTAGACTGGTGACAATATATCGCGTACATTCAAATGTTGAATAAACTAATATTTTTTTGGTGATTTTCTACAACACAGCATAAATGAGTAAATCTGAAATATAATATTTTCTCCATTTTCTTTACACACCCAAAGTTTTGATATTTTGAGATACGCTGTATAAAAATTGTGGAAATTTTTTTGTTCTGTTTTACAATAATTTTATATATAATAACAATTAAATAATATTTTATATATTATTTGTTAACATTTTTTAATTACAAATTTGTTAAATTAATTTTAAAAATTATTATAAATTATTATTAGAAATTATATTTAAATTGTTTTTTACTTACATTTTTTAAACATTTTTATTTCAAATAAAAATAAATAAAAAATAATAAAATAATAAATTTTATTTAAAAAAATTTTTTCATATTTTTAATTTTTATATACTTTACTAGTACGAACTGTACTAATTTTTTTACCAAAGTATAAAAAATACTTTTTGTATAATTTTTAGATACAGAGTAATTGACAACTTGTTCTTGAAATGTTATATCCATGAGTGAATTCTGAGACAATTTAAAATGTTGCTAAAAGCCTATTTTTAATATTGTAAATATTGCTATTTTGTTATATTGAGAAGGATATACTACAAAATATTTTTATTTTAATACTTGTAAAGAAATTAGTTATTACCAAGAAAAAAATAATATAATAATACCGTAAAAGTATAAATAAAAAAATCTGTTTATTTTTATTTTGTTATCTATCTTGAAAACAAAATCTTTGAAAATAAATTACTTTATACAATATATATACTAAATTTACAGAGTAGTGGTGGTAGTGGTGGTAGTGGTGGTAGTGGTGGTAGTGGTGGTAGTGGTGGTAGTGGTGGTAGTGGTGGTAGTGGTGGTAGTGGTGGTAGTGGTGGTAGTGGTGGTAGTGGTGGTAGTGGTGGTAGTAGTAGTAGTAGTAGTAGTAGTAGTAGTAGTAGTAATATAAAGAGTATTATACTTTTATTATTACAGTTGTTAGCACCAGAGGCGATCTTTTCGTGGGCTGGTTATATAAAATCCAGAGGCGGTCTATTCGTGTGCTGGTTATATTAAATCCAGAGGCGATCAATTCGTGTGCTGGTTATATTAAATCCAGAGGCGATCAATTCGTGTGCTGGTTATATTAAATCCAGAGGCGATCAATTCGTGTGCTGGTTATATTAAATCCAGAGGCGATCTATTCGTGTGCTGGTAACTTTCTAGATTAGAAACGATTTGCATGTGTGTTCTGGTTATACAAAATTTGATCCAGAGGCGATCTTTTCGTGGGCTGGATTATATAAAATCCAGAGGCGGTCTATTCGTGTGCTGGTTATATTAAATCCAGAGGCGATCTATTCGTGTGCTGATAATTAAAAAAAATATTACACAATTACAATTACAATTTTACATTAGATGTGGTTTGCATGTGCGCTACAGTAGTAGTATTTATATTGTTAGCTATCTATTTTTTCAGTAATACATAATTTTATAATTAATAATTTATTTTTAATTGTACATTAAAATAAAGTTAATAGTAGATATCTTGTATCGCCAGTGATGAATAAAATTAAAAATAAATGTGAGACGACCCAACTGGCTTAAATTAATTCTTATTATTATTAGTTTGATGCCATGTACAAGAAAAGACAACGTTTCGACCTTAGGTTTAGGTCCTTATCAAGTCTAAAATTAACATTAAAAAATACAATAGATGTACATACAAGAATTTTGATTTTTAAGAAAGTAAAGCGCAAACCAAGATTATAATAACAATTTAAACGTACCTTACAAATTCTTTAGTGCAATATATAATTAATTTTTTTCATTTTACATATTTCAATATAAATACTGTGTCACGTAAACGTTCAGTATGGATGGTAAAGACGAACTAAATTAAACAGCTTTGATTATTCTATCATAGATCGGATTCAAATTCTCTGTGTCTTTCTGTAGGTTGATCGTGTTATTAAATTTTTTTATAAAAAACATTTCAGCAATCTCTCTTTTCCTAGTGTTTGTTTCTCGATGTAAAATATTTAAGTTTGTCCATTTAAAGTCATGCGAAAAATCATTTCTATGTTTGCTTATAACATTTTGATTGCTGACATGCATTTTTATATTAAACCCCGAAAAGACAAATTACCTAAAGCCGATATGACCGAGATAGTTTATAAAGTTGACTGCAATGACTGTGACGCCACATACATCGGACAAACTAAAAGACACCTTAATACTCGGATTAAAGAACATATGAATAATATAAAAATGCATGTCAGCAATCAAAATGTTATAAGCAAACATAGAAATGATTTTTCGCATGACTTTAAATGGACAAACTTAAATATTTTACATCGAGAAACAAACACTAGGAAAAGAGAGATTGCTGAAATGTTTTTTATAAAAAAATTTAATAACACGATCAACCTACAGAAAGACACAGAGAATTTGAATCCGATCTATGATAGAATAATCAAAGCTGTTTAATTTAGTTCGTCTTTACCATCCATACTGAACGTTTACGTGACACAGTATTTATATTGAAATATGTAAAATGAAAAAAATTAATTATATATTGCACTAAAGAATTTGTAAGGTACGTTTAAATTGTTATTATAATCTTGGTTTGCGCTTTACTTTCTTA